TCAAGATCATGCAGAAATAAGGTACGTGGGATATACCTACGTGGCTAACCCCATTACATATTCTCTCCAACCCTAAAACCCCTCACATGGGCTCATATCAGCCTCCGAATTCAAAAATATTGCCAAAAGGACCTGACAGCAAGCACCGGATCTACTTCCTGGCTGATTCCTGGCTGATTCTCCAACGCTGGTTGAGGAACTTCAGCCAAGTAGTATAGTGCCCGAAATTGACGCTGGGCACTAACGAGCGCAAAGCTGCAACGTGAGGGGTTAAATATAAATAAGAGGGGCGGGAAAAGACCTCACCGAATCAAACGAATGGCTCGCCTGTCAAGTTTTAAGTTGTAAAAGCTTTTTTGTCTTGGTTTAGGGCATCTGGTGGCATTGATGCTAGGCACGAATGGATGTAGGTCGGAAAGACAACGTCGCCGAATCAAATGAAGGAACTACCTGTCAACATCGAGTCGCACAAGCCTCTTTTTGGCTTAAGTACACCTCGTACTCTGCAGGCTCTCGTCGTTGAAGAATATAGCAATGGAAGATGTCCTTTCTGAGACCTTCGATGGTGGGTTACCTTCAAGAACAGATAGTAATCGATTAACCCAGTACCTTCAGTAATAATCATCGGAGGTGGCCCAGCTGGTTGTGCAACGGCACTGTCTTACTTCAAACACAGTCATCATACAAGATGCCTTGTTATCGACAATGCAGATCCCAATGCCTTCAAAGTGCGTGTTATTTCAGCGTTTACATAAAACATAACGTCATTATTGCTTTGCTCACAGATAGGAGAATCCCTTCCACCCGAGGCTACTCGAGTCCTGCATCACATTCACCCATCACTCCCAATCCAACTACGCGATGCCGTTCAAACGGGTACACATTGCGTCTGTACTGGCAACACATCATCGTGGGCAACCTCTTCCATGGAAGAACGGCATGCAATCATCGGTCATGGCCTACATCTCAATCGATCAGCATTCGATGAAGTGCTTCGAGGAACGGTAGACAGCGTGGAAAAGACTAACCGTGACCGGAGGTTAGCATTGTGCAAAGGTACTTTCAGATCCGTTCATAGAATGGAAGACCAACAATGGAATATCGAGGTAGAGTTGGATGGAAAGCAAATTACGTTTACAGCCAAGTGGATAATCGATGCAACGGGAAGAAAGGCAGCAGTAGCCACCAAGGTAAGCCAATAACGTCGACCGTCTTTCGGATGATTTAAAACACTCTTGTGCAGCTGGGAGCTCGGACCGTGTCTCCAAACCCATTGCTAGGATTCTACGCGCTGTTCACAGGTCCTTCAGCCTCCGATGCAGCAGACGGCGATAACGATAATCGTACCTTGATAGAAGCAACACCAGATGGTTGGCTATACAGTTCTCTTCTCTCTCGAAACCCATGTACAAGAATCGTTGCATTTCACACGTTACCAACACACCCGTCTGTAAAACGTGCACGGAAGAAAGAGGGCTTCATCGATCTCCTCCAGGAAGCGTCGAACCATATCTGGAATATCATCGAAACTTGTGATTATACCATAGATGAGGGATATCCACGTTGCACTGCTGCAGGATCATCATACCTTGATAATATTTGCAATGAAGAGGAACGGTGGATAGCAGTTGGAGACGCGGCCATGGCGTTTGACCCATTGTCATCACAGGGAATGATGACGTCCTTGGAGATGGGGTTCTATGTTGGATCTTTGTTGGCAAAAGGGATAGAGGACCCGGCGGCACCATCGGTTGAACAGAGCCTGAAAGAGATATATATGTTGGTGAGAGAAGAGTATGAGCGCCATAGGGACTATTATTACGGAATTGTGGAACGTTTTCAGGGTCAGCCATTCTGGGAAAATGTGATTAATAAGGCAGAATGACATGTAGGTAGTTGCCATATATTACGAAATGAACTTAGAGGAAACTATTAAGCAGCGGTGAATATTGAATGCAATCGGTATATTACCAATTTGCACAAGTCTACAGCTGCAGATCGTTCGCGCTCGCGTCCGCTTTCCAAACCTTGCAACTCGATCCTTCACCACATGCCAACCCATCCTACCAACACACTAATCGCCAAAGGAACGGTTCGCGAATCAAGCCGTATCTTCATCCTAAAAGCATCGCTCGTGGTGGTATTATTGGTGAGCGCAAGGGCAGGATCTTAAATAAGCTAGGTATTGCCAGCTACAGCAGCCGTTGGTTCGACGGAGATCGCAGGACCGCTGGTCGTCATGGAAGCAGAAGACGATACCGAAGACTCGGAACTGGAGGAACTCGGTGTGGTACTATTGGTCGATAGAGCTGTCGTCTGTCGTTGAAGTCATAGAATCAGGAAGTTTTGAAGACGATGTGGATGAACTTGTAGACGTAGTTTAAAGAGTGGGAGGAGCCGGGGTTTGGGATGTCGTAGTCGCCGGAGGCGCTGCACCAGCCTCAATGACAAAGCTGGAACTGATGCTTTGTCTCCACCACTCGAGTCGCAGGTAATATTTAGAACCAAGGGGTACGTCAGGAGCGGTAACGGTCGTTGAGCTGTTCTCCGAGTTTGACGGTACAGGAGCACATTCAACGAGCTTCAGCACTTAAATAGCAGACCCAGTTAGCCAGACAAACACATGATAACCTATGATTGCGTACCTGTACCAAAAGGCACTGAGATGTTAACGTTGCACAGGTATATGTCTGCTACCATCCCTCCTATATTCGACGCATCGGACATTCGTAAGTTCAAATGTAGGCAACAAGATAAGAAGTCAAAGCACCAAATTATCTCCTGTTGAGATCCAACAAGCCCTGGTGCGCCACTAGCAGGCTTCGAAAAATGAGAAATTCAGTCCTGCTGTCGCATACGAAAGTTCCGTGATGGTAAAGAGTAGCAAAGATAGCAGTGATCGAGGCAGCATCGCAATCTCAAAGGAATGGCATGAAAATGGTGGAGGAGAAGGGCGAACGTCGAAGGCAGGGAGCTCGAGGAATCAGGATCATCACGTCGGGCGGCGAAGCCCATGTGGACGGAAGCAAATATTTTCTCGCCCGCGTCAATCATCGTGATCCGGAAGCAGAGGGAGCCAGCAGCCAATGAACGACGTGGATGACAATTACGTCCGTACGTGTCCACGGGGATCCGTAGGGTCGCGTGATATCATGCTGACGGTGGCTTCCCACATCGCACGCCATCCTCCTCGACGTCTTATGCATCGACCAGCTGCCTTCTAGCATCTTACTTATATACCACTTCTACATCCCATTATACCCCAATACCGTCCGAATTTTCAACACCGGATGATCGACTTGCCTCTCATCAGACTCTCTTATTCAACAATAGCCCTCCACGATGCAACGTATGCAACGTTTTTCGACAACTATAGACTTCAGCTTATGTTAATACACTGCCTGTATGCCTATCAGAGCTTCCATTCCATGTTCTATTCCAGAACCAAGGCCGTCGTACCCGCAGCTCCCATTCAAACGCTGGGAAAATCCCCAGCACAGCATCATGGATTACGCCATCCTCGACGATGTTCAGTCGGTTTAAGTATCGTAGGAGGACTGGGAAGACGTCTGGTGAGTAGCTTTATCCCTTTAAAACTTCACTATTATGCTTACAAGGAAGAAACAGATGTCGTACCCACCACACGTCTCTCGACACCTGCAGGCTCAATTCGCGAACCAGATACCTTTCCCTTCACTGAACTACCGACGGACGTTATCGACATTATTTTTCAATGGGCCATAAACATGTCTACTGCCACAGGAGCGTCCCTCTGCCTCGTTTCCCAAGGCGTGTTCGACCTCGCCGCACCGATCCTATATCACACCGTCTTCCTCCCTACTGACTCCATAGCTTTCTCTTTCCTCCAGACCATCCTCTCAGAACCTCGTGGTCTGTCATATCGCAAATTCATCTGCGAACTATACATTCCCACCGGCTCAGGTTTTTCCCCTCCCACGGGTCGAATATCCCTTCCCAACATACGACGGCTCTCCATTCCTCACTTCTCGTATCTCAATCGAATAGAAGACGTATCTAGCTGTCAACATCTAACTTTGACCAACCGCAACGCCGTCCTCGAACAAATCCCCACCCGAGCAATCCTCTCCTCATTAACACACATAACCCTACCTCCACGCTGGAACATGCGTGGAATCATCCTCACTCCGTCCCTTCTACCCTCCCTCACGCATCTCGCCCTACCTATTAGCGTTGGCGTAGGCAGTGCACGACACCTCATTATCCAAGATCAACGCCACTTCCTCGCCGTCACCAACTCCAAATTTAACCTTAAGAAGATCGTACTTCTTCCTTGGAGGACGTTCAGAAGAGAGCTGATTAGCGAGATGGTGAATAGACAGACGCTTTTGGAGGACCTTGGGATTGATGTTGGGGATGCGAAGTATATGGTTGTGGCGTGCTCAGGGAGGTGGGATTGGGATTAGCATTGCGTTAGAGATCGAACTGCTGTTTGATTTATTTTTGTATATTTTCTGATATATTGAATTTATTCACATTTCGTTACTCGAATGCAGAACAGGAGAGGATGATGAAAGGAAGGTCGCATCAAATTTCATTGATATGCGTAATTACGCTAAACAAGCGTATGTAGCGGATAGAATTTTTCTAAACCATCCACAGCCCACGACACCCGTTGTGGGCTGGACAATATCATATAATACTTGTTCATATCCCTCCGCAATTCAACCATATGACGGCATTGAAGACGTATCCCTTCCAACAGGGGTGGCTCGTTTGGAATGTGGATTGCGACTTCACACTTGTCCAAGCAAGAAGGCGAATGGTCCCTGTCAGATCTTGAATGTCTTTGGGGTTCTTTTCTCAATACAAGGAAAAACCCCTCGGACCTCATTTTAGGATTGTCGTGTTGTCAACTTTTCTCCTGAACCTGAACCTGCACACTATCGGATATTACCATTTGCTGCACCTTCACTGTATCGGTCACCATTGAATATATTCGCCTCAAATTAAAGCAACATGGACCGATAGCTCAGTGGTAGAGCACACGATTGCAAATCGTGGGGTCCCGGGATCAACCCCCGGTCGGGCCTTAATACTTTTTATCCAGGCTTGACCTGGTAAAATCTCCTTTTGGCATTTCTCTCCCTAGATGCTGATATTTTTCACACCCACCCCTCCATCTATATGTTAGTTCATATCACATTTCTCGAGGTTCTTCTGTAGCCCTTCAGAGTAAACTGGACTTAAGTCTGACAGTCCAAATTATTTTACCTGGAGTAAGTCATTAGATGCAAGGAAGTCCCAAGAAGAAAACTATCTCGTTGGAGAAGAGGTAAACGGCACGCTTGGAAGAAGTACCAATGAGATTCAAGGGCCGTGTTGGGGCAACTACTAGTACGGAGGGACGGAAAGTGTTGGCAAGGGAAATAAAGCGGGAGGAAGGGAGTGATGGATAAGCTCTAAAAAAACTTTAATCCAACAATTCTCCATTGTAATACATATGTGGTAACGGCAGTCAAGTTCAATAGCAACTGGATATCAAGGAGGGTATGTAGTGGAAGCCATTCTTCTATATCGGGCCAACGCCACGATTCCCATGCCCAGCTCTGGAACCATATTTTTTCTATCTTTAATCTTCGCCACAATTCAACAAATAGCTTTCCATCTGATTTGGAGTCACCTGGAAGGTGGATTGCTACTTTATACCTGTCTAGGCAAGGTGAGTATTCCTTGTCGATTCGCTTCACAGGGTTCCTGGATGTTTGAAGGTTGACAATTTTGGATAGGTAAATTGCATCGGCGCCAGTGATGCGGAATTTCATTTCGTTGCGGGTGAGCGTGCCGGTCTCTAAGCCAAGTCATCGTTAGTAGAGGACGTTGAAGGTTGAAACCAACGTACCTTATCACTGAAGACATACTCGATCTGTCCGAGTTCCCACTACTGAGCCACTTCGCCAACATAGTGCCGGTATGTCGTTCTTTGCGTAATACATGTCGAGATCGGAGCTGATAAATTGAGCTTGTTGATACTTGACAACTTCCTTGGTTACGATACGGGCGATGGAGATGAGGTTATTGTAGAGGATGACGAAGATGAGGATATCTGGATGAAGAGGCGTCGAACAAGTCGGATGCGGGAGGTGTCAGGTTAGGAGATGTACCTGGGGCGAACGTAGCAACGTTGCTATCGGCACTCTCCTGAGTGAGACAGCGCTGTTTGTCTGAGAGCAGCCATAAACGAATTACAGTGGCGATGCTGGAACCGACGGAGAGCGCGAAGAATACGATGAAGAGGAGGGCGATTTGACCGTTGACTTGACGTTCAACGGCTAAGCTTTTGATGGGGGGGACTGTGGTTGCGTTATTAGGGAAGGAGAGCGAGCCGAAGCACCACGGTGTATTCCGCAGCTGTGCATCTTTCAACAGCATCTGGTCGGTGCCTAACGGGACGATCTTGAGAGCTCAATGCGGCCGGCGAATTTCCGGCGTTCCTCCGAAGGCGTAGAGCGAGTTGTTGGGTTGTTCGCAGCATAAGTAGTCGGCCGGATAGCGTTTCATCCAATGCAATATATTAGCCCTATGTAGAATAACCACCCCGTATGACATGGAAAGGCGATAATAGAGCGTAGGATTGGTTATTGAGGTCGATGTCGTCGAAGAGGGGATGATTACGTGTACGCGTTTCTGCCGTTGACTCAGTTCGGCATCTAACAGTCGTGCGTTCGAACCCGCCTCCACGAAATTATTCAAAGCTATGGTGCTATTCCATCAAGATGTCAGGTATCATTTAACAAGTTTGAAAATCCCGCTAATGACCAGATCTCTAGTTCGGTACGTCATTACTCAAGCAATATCTTAGAGCTTCAACCGAGCCTACCTATCATCAAACCGTCATTTGCCCCTCTATTTACAGAGATAGAAAGCCATCCAATCCCAAACTGATTGTGTTCTACTTTACCTTCTTTTCCGTCTGGCAGATGTTCGGATTTGATTCATCTTGCTCATCCTAACATCCTGATAGTTTGCCCCTGAAGTAAAAGGCACAAATGCCGACATTAATACATACTTTATATCAGAACATAGAGATCAACCAGGGGGACAGACGTCCTTCCTATCTGTCAGCCTACGCAGACTAACAATAGAACCACTTATAAATATGAGTAATACTTACTGTTGGGTCTTCACACACTATGGTCTGGCAAATTGCTCTCCCATTGCTTCTCACTCTCTCAGCCGCCATCGCAGCCCCTGACTGGGTAAGTAAGAGATTTGTCCTATTATTCTATTCGTTTCATTACAATTTCTCTACTCATGCAGACTGCTCGCCAATTGAAAAGAAACTTCCCGCCTCTCAGTGCAAATCAATCTGTCTTACCGCCAGGATGGTCTGGAAGTCCTGAATGCTTTGCGTAAGTAACATTCGTTGAACTTTTGCATTCAATAATATAGCGAGTAAATTATTCGAAGTCAATGCGGATTTGATTCTGGAACCTCAAGTTTCCTCCTGGGAGCATCGTTCACTGATCCGGTAGGGATGACGATTGAATCATGCGTCGAGTTCTGTGACCAGGAGGGATATATCATGGCGGGCCTTTTTGGGGCGGAATGCCGTACGTTATATCCCAGTTATTTTGTGGAATATTTTTAGAGCTATCTCTCAGACTGCGCAAACATCTTCAACCCCGATACCTGCTTCGAGAGCGACTTTGGCTTTTGTACCATTGGTGGTCCAGCCGAGGATGGGGGTGCTCAGCCTTGCCCTGGAGATTCACGAGAGTCATGCGGGAATGGTTCGCCTGTTGCGACGCCACAACTCTTGAATATCTTCTTCAAAGATTTTTGTAGAGCCTTGTGGCAAGGAGGGGCCCAATTCACGAGTGGACCTTGGAGATTGATTTATTTCTACAAGTACGGATTTCCTATGTCTGAATTTTCCGACCTAATCCTTATTAGTGACACTGTGGGTGCACGAGCATTGCAGCATAATGCTGTCGATCTTCACCCTGGTTTACCGCGTGGAAATCTCACAATCGAAGCTTGCGTCAACGCATGCAATGCGTCAGGTATTTCCTTCAACATAATTTTCACCAATTTGCATTATCTAATTTTTTGCAAGGGTTTAAACTGGCAGGTGTCGAATTTGCAGATGAATGCTGTATGTGATTTTCTATCTCAATTTTCTGTCTACTCGAAAGCGTCATAATCTCCATCAGATTGCGGTAATGAACTCCTTCACAACAGCCAACCAATTTCATCCTGCGCTCCCATCGCACCCAACGCGAACGCCATGCCCTGCAAGGGCGATCCTGACAATTTCTGTGGCGGTCCGGGGCTGCTATACTTGTATTCTCTCCCTGAAACAGGACTCACGCCCCTCATTCCATTTGATTCCATTTTTGATGGGTACTGTCCTTCATGCAGTCAATTTGGGATACATACTTAATCTCTTCTTGTCGTTTTTCATCTGAGTTTCCTTTGAATCGGGTCGAAACGGTCCAACTGGAATATTAATAAAATGATAGGTCTCTTGCAGGATTTTATCCATGGCAGTGTGAGATAAAACCGGTGATATCTGGGACCATATTTCGTTTGATGAATTTTGTTTTAATTAATCGTAGCCATTTTGACATGAAGAGCTATTGCATTGCAGTAGCCTTAACAGGACGTAGCAAAGAATGGAGAGGAGAGTTGGGAAGGTCGGCGGGACAGGGTTGAGGGTTGGGCACTTCAGGTTGTAACGGGATTCCAGTACTTAAATAGTGCAGGGAGACCCAGATCGCGCTGGATAAAACTATTCATGTTGAGTGTTACAGTACCGGCCCAGCATTCCATCCACACTGAAGAACATGTCCAAATTGCCTCTATTCCTGCCAAAGGAACGCCATATGTATTCCTGTTTTGAGAGTCTACTTCCTCATCGTTACCAGCGTGCCTTCTATAAAACAATGAATAGGTGTGCATCCACCTGTCTAATAGTCAATTATACGACCTTCGGATTGAAAGACTCGCAATAGAACGAGTTTTTGTCGAATTGGTCGAGCGAAAGATGGTCGGGTTTGCTCAAGGATTCCTCATGATTATGTGTTCGCATCTCTCCCACTCGTTCAGCTCGGCATTGATATACAGTCATGCGTTCGAACCTGCCTCCTCCACGGAGTATTCAAGGGAGTGTGGTGTGGTGAAAATCCTATAAATTAATCTCGTCCTCTACCTGATACGATATATTCAAAAATTCAGCTTTAAGATATCTAGATCTAAGCCAGGAATTGTTTGAGAAACAGAAGTTAGAGCTGCTGATGTGCCGAAACACTTAAGGTAAATACCACCATCCCATCCCCAATGCACGATGTATATTATTTCCATCCATAGCGTATAACAAAATCATAAATCAAATTCGACTACTCTCACGAGTTCCCAATGTTCGTCGATCCCGTCTTCACTTTGCCTTTGTCTCAATCCCAAACCACCCTGCATCGGGAAACCTGGCAAGTTGTACATGAACTATATAGTGCTATATAGCATTCATAACACGAACACTCGTTCTAAGAATGCTATATGACGCTATAAAAGCTATGATAGCGCTATATAGTTTATGTACACCTTCCAGGTTTCCTGATGTGCCAAACTCCTCCAACTCCGTTCTCTCTCCCCCATCACAATACCCTCATAGCTTTCTGCACAATCAGCTCAAAACCCCTTCCTCGATGCCCACTTCCTATGAAGCCGCAGCAAAACCTCGAGTGTATCAGGAAGTCGCAAGGTCTCCTCCTTGTAATAAAAAGATAGATGCCATAACATTAGTGGTTCTAAACACATGGTTAAGTCACAACAATATCACTAGAGAAGGCTCCGGGTGTTAATAATCAATGCGGGAATGTAAAAACTCGTAAGCACATTCGTATAGATATCTCCTTGTGTATATTCAAGGACCTTCCCGCGAGACTATGGGTGCGTGCTCTACGAGAAAACAAAGACGGAGCATTGCACCTGATCATGAAGATCTGAGAGCTAAAGCGGAAGGCACTGACAGAAGTTGGTGATCTCGGAGAAAGCCGAGTCTGGGAGCGGTATAGCCACGGAGGCTTTTTTG